CCTTATTCATACTTGTAGTCCTTCCTCATTTAACAGCTATACAACACTACTAGAAGAATGTATTCTAAATTACTGTTAGTAGATTATTATTGTTTATTGCTACATTCTTCTATTACAAATAATGTGCCAATGAACAACTTCACTCAAGAGATTTTTCACTTGTACAATATAGAGTAAATACCTTGATATTAAAATTGGGGATCTAGGGTAGGTGTTTGGCAAGATGGTTAATCCATCATTTGGGATGTCCACACACACTGAAACACCTGGTTCAAGTTCACTTCAGTCCAGCTTCCTGGTAATGCACACCCTGGGAGGCAACAGTAATGGCTAAATAATTGACCACACAAGTGGGAGACCTAAATTAGGTTCCTGGTTGATGGTCTCAGCCTGGTCTGGCCCTGGCTCTCGTGGGCATTGGAGGAGTGAACCAGTAGACACAAGAACACTTTTTGTGGCACTCAGCAGCCCCCACTTTTATTTTTATTGTCAGATATACAGAGAGGAGGAGAGACAGAGAGGAAGATCTTCCATTCATTGATTCACTCCCCAAATAACTGCATTGGCCGGTGCTGTGCCAATCCGAAGCCAGGAGCCAAGAGCCTCTTCTGTATCACCCACAAGGGTGCAGGGCCCCAAGGCTTTGGGCTGTCCTCGACAGCTTTTCTAGGCCACAAGCAGGGAGCTGGATGGGAAGTGCCGGGATTAGAACTGGCACCCTTATGGGATCCTGGGCAAGTTCAGGGGGAAGACTTTAGTCGCTAAGCCATAGCGCCAGGCCCCCCCACCTTTTTTTTTTTAAGGATTTATTTTATTTTTATCAGAAAGTCTGACATACAAGGAGGACAGGAGACAAAGAGAAAGATCTTCCATCTGCTGATTCACTCTGCAAGCAACTACAATGGCTGGAGCTGAGCTGATTCGAAGCCAGGGGAGTCAAGAGCTTTTTCTGGTCAGGCAACTGACCCCACTCCCGCCAAAATAATCTTGTCCTTTTCTCCTTTTCCTTTGACTTACCAGTGTTTTACTTATTAACGTAAGGAATACACATATATTATCTATGCATATATCTATACACATTGAAATATGTCCTACAATGTCATTTGTGTTACCAATACTTCTTGTTGACAAGAATGGCGGGTTAAGCTGCTTCCAGGGGCAGCTGTATCACGCAACAAGAGGCCTAGATTTGTATCCAGGCTCCATTTGGACCCAGCTTCCTGATAGCGTATGCCGGGAGGCAAGGAATACTGACTCAAGTATGTGGCTCCTATCACACCCCTGGGAGACGGGAGGTCAGGTGGAACCATGGGCTTGTGCTTCAGCCTGGCCCAGACCCCGACTCCAACAGACTTCTGGGAGTAAACCTGAGGGCGAACATCAGTCCTCTCATTCTGCCTCATTCTCTCTCTACCTTTCGTCCCTGTTGCATTACCTTTCAAGTATTCCAACAAATACTGAAAATATACAAACAAGTATTTCCCTCAGTTTGTCTTCATTTATTTTTGGTTGTAGTATTTTTCTTACTACAAAAATCCCAGGGCCTGGTGCCGTGGCCTAGAGGCTAGTCCTAGCCTTGAACACAACAGGATCCCATATGGGCGCCGGTTCTAATCCTGGCAGCCACACTTCCCATCCAGCTCCCTGCTTTTGGCATGGGAAAGCAGTCGAGGACAGCTCAAAACCTTGGCAGCCTGCACCCACATGAGAGACATGGAGGAGGCTCTGGGCTCCTGGCTTCGGATCTGCACAGCACCAGCCATTGCGGTTACTTGGGGAGTGAATCATCAGACAGAAGATCTTTCTCTGTCTCTCCTCCTCTCTGTATATCTGACTTTTTTTTTTAAAGATTTATTTATTTTTATTACAAAGTCAGATATACAGAGGGAGAAAACAGAGAGGAAGATCTTCTGTCCGATGATTCAGTCCCCAAATGAGTGCAACGGCCGGTACTGCGCCGATCCGAAGCCAGGATCCAGGAACTTCTTCCAGGTCTCCCACATGGGTACAGGGTCCCAAAGCTTTGGGCTTTCCTTAACTGCTTTCCCAGGCCACAAGCAGGGAGCTGGACGGGAAGTGGAGCTGCCGGGATTAGAACCAGCGCCCATATGGGATCCCGGGCATTCAAGGCGAGGACTTTAGCTGCTAGGCCACTCCACTGGGTCCTGTATATCTGACTTTGCAATAAAAATAAAACAAATGAGTCAATCACAAAAGAACAAATACCATATATTCTCTCTCATATAAGGAAGCCAACATAGAAAGGATAACTCCAACAGTCCAATCTATCCTGGTTTTAATTTAATTTAATTTTATTTTCTTGATTGTTTTTTTTTTTGGCTGTATCCCATGTGTTTTGATGTTTTTATTTCAGTTTGGTTGCTTCCAAATAATCTCTATTCTCTAGTAAAATTCATCACGTGCTTATGAAGTATATGCTGGCACCATTTTTCCCAAGAGACTTCTGTGTTTCCTTTTTGTCATGCATGTGTTGGCTATTCAGTGGTGTTACTTTTTTTCAGGGTGATATACTTTGTTGTCGATGTTGTTGCTGTTGTTGTTGATGTGGCTGTTATGAATTGATGTCAATCTGAAACAGTAATATTATTTCAACCCCAAACAGCCTGTATCTCATGCAATAAGATATTGTGAAGTAATCAATGAATCAATAATCGATATGAGTCAGACTGCTTCTGATCTACATCAAAGAATTGTAAAACCTAATATACTTGTAAGGCTCTATGCTACTCGGAAAGGGGGAGGAAGAGCAGAGAAATCTTACATAACCCAAGAAGGTGTGAGGAAGACGGGAAGTATAACCTATCAGGATCATAACTGGTAACTCATAGACAACAGACTCGAGTCAGCATTAGACAATAGCAAAACTACGAAGGCATATGGGGGGAATCAGGAGCAATCCCAACAACCTCTTAACAGGAGGTCATATGCACAGAGCAGGGGGGAACCCCAGAGTGGAGCAGGCAGACAGGAGGAAGCGTGTATCCCAACTCTGAAGACTCCTCGATCCTCACCAAGGACTATCAGTACGAGCTCCGAGGATTACATCCCAACCGCCAAGGAGACCACGGGGAATTGGAGTGCCTTTGGAGGCCGAGAACTCTGAGGTCACCCATTTCCATTTGGGTCTCACACATGGGATGGAAGAAGCCCATACCCGCCTTGCAGGATCCAAGGTCATCGGAACGACAACCAGGAGCACTGAGCAGTCCACAGAAACAAAACAGTAAACTTCCTTCGGGACTAGGGAGAGGAGCTTTCTCTGGTTCTTGCCTGGTTCTAACTTTCGGTCCCCACTCTCTCTCATAATGACCATCAGGATTGCTCCAGACCCCTCAAAACAAACTAACAAACAAATAAACAAACAAAAAAACCCCCCTAGAATAGATGGAGAACAGCAAGGAAAGCTTAGAAACAGGAAATGGGCAGGGGGAGGCACTTATAACTCACTGGGTGGGACACGAAGATTGGTTGCTCCTCACTAGGGTATTGAGGATTTCTCTGCACACCCCTCCTAACACTGTTCACCTAAATTGTTGACATATGTCTTGTTAGAGTTATAGCGTTAGACTACCCAAAAAACAGCCAGGTTCTGCAAAATCATGCTTCAATGCTATGAACTGCTAAATACTAAAATTAAAATAGACATGAGACAGCTGAATAGTAATCTATAGCCATTTTAAGGTGTATAGAACCCAGCTGTATATAAACTAATAATTGTAATGTCAATGTAGAAGTCATAGGATGTGGTTCAGAACTTGCACTCTTTTTTTTCTCTCTCTCTCTTTTAACATGCTGGTTACACAATACCATGTCAACTAATTCCATTACATTATAAATTGTTACTGATGCAATGTCGGGGCTTTCAATTGATTGGGATGATACTCTTTCAGCTGTATCTTCAGACCAGAGACTGTCTCCCCATGAAACTGTCGAACTTATCTGCACAATAAGATGCTGGACTCTATGCTTTGTAGATGCTTGCAAGGAAAAAAAATCTCAACCGAATTTGATCTGTGGTAATGCAACAAGATGGAAGAATCCACCATGGGGGGGGGAATGGGTTTTGGGGAGGGGCGGGGGGGAATCCCAGTGCCTGTAAAACTGTGTCTCATGATGCAATGTAATAAAAAAAAAAAATCCTTAACTTTCATCATGCAAAACAGCGAATTTATGTTACAGTTTTTGGGTTTCTACCATGCCTTAAAGATGTGTCCTATTTCTTCTTTTAATAGAATTATCAATTGACTATAAATAAATGGGCAAAACTTATTTAGAGTAGATTTTAAATATGAGCTTTTGCAACTCCAAGTATTTGCAGAGAATTTGAAAAGCCATTGTTCTCTCCAGCTAAGTCCAACAGAGTCTTCATTCAAATAACTGACATTTAAACACAAGAAAATTCTCAAGATTAAAAGTGCCAGATCACTGCAAACAGGTCCTCCAAGGTCATGATTTTACAGCTCTTAGACTTAACTTCCCAAATAAACCGTAAAATGTTTAACTCCAGATTTTTTTTTGTTGTGGTTGTTAATTTATTTATTTGAAAGAATTACACAGGGAGAAACAGAGAGAGCAATCTTCCATCTGCTTTTCACTCCCTAAATGGCCATCACTCTGTCAGGGTTGGACCAGGTCCAAGCCAGGAGCCAGGAGCTTCCTCTGAGTCTCCCCATGTACGTAGTTGTAGGAGCCCAAACACTTGGGCCATCTCCCACTGTTTTCCCAAGTGCTTTTTGGGGAAGATGGATCAGCAGTGGAGCAGCTGGGACTCAATCAGTGCCTATATGGGATGCCTGCACTGCAGGAAGTGGATTTACTGGCTATGCCACCATGCTAGCCCCAACTTGAGATTTCTATAACATGTCCATTATGCTACTTTAAATATTCTCCTCTTAATTCATCACTTTTTTTTTTTGATTGAAGAAGTTGCTCATAGAGAATACGACCCATTTACAACAAAATGAACAAAATTAACTTACCATGTGTGGAGCACTGATTGTTGCTTGGAAACCTGCAAAACAAGAGACTACTGATACATTCTGCCACAAAACACCAAATATTTCACATAATTCTAGTTCTAATGCCCATGCAGTATTTTCCTAATGATCCCTTTTTATTTTTATAATTTCAAGATGTGCACTAGCTAAAATGAGAACACAGAATCATGCCAAGGGTAACACACTCATCTCAAACAGTCCCAGGGCTTCCGGAAATGACTTTTGTACACTTACTTAAGAAAGGAGGGATTACAAGAAGTATTAGATTTTTGCATTTTTTTCTTCAGATTTATAAAAAGAAAATAAGCTTCTAAATATGGATATTAAAAATATTTAAAAATCTTTGTAAAATTAAATTGTTTCACATTTCCAACAACTTCAAAAGAATTTTCTGAGAACTTGAGCGAGTGACAACTAAAGCTGCTTCTGAGAGTAATGACCTACTGGCCTTTGTCACGGACGCTAACTCACACAGTCCTCTCCTGGCTTTGAACTCCTACTTTGCTCCAATGCTACATCTCACGAAGTCTTTACCTGTTTCTGCCTCTGAAGCAGTTTTCACTGAGCACTGGGAGCAGGTGCCTTCGGGGTTCAGAAGTCCCTCAGGATCTTCTCTGCTGACAGAGTACTTCAAGAGAAGACCGCATGGCAGCCCGCGCCGACGGCATCCTGAGGCCCTTCTAAGCCTCAAAGGCGCCCACTGCCAAGGCTCAGCAGTTAAGCAAAACCTGCTTCAGGGGAGGGAGGCAAATGTAGACATTTCTAGAAACAAACGCAACCCAAAAACATCAGGGCCAGTGAAACAGAAAAATCAACAACAATTACATTTTTTTCCTTTAAATATTTAGAAAATCCATGGCCTCTCAAAAAAGTCAGCAGAAAGGCCTGGAAAGAAAATCAGCCCTCACCTACAACCAAGTATTGATTAAAAGTTCTGCTTTTTATTAAAATATTCTCTATGAAGTTTTTTTCTTTTATTAATCATTACACGTATTACAAACCATGTGAGAAACAGATAAAGATACATCATCTCAGTAAAATGGATATGCCTGGGATTATGAAACTTACTGAGTCATAACATTCAAATTAGCAAGGCAATAAGAGATAAACATATGTCCCAGTCCTTTTCCACTTACAAAAATAACAGAGTAACAGAGAAAAATTCTCCAATTTTCAGAAATTTAAAGCTTACCTATTGATTGTGGAGAATCCATATAAGGATTACATTTTGCATAGTGGGAGCGATCTGTAGCCAGCATAACTTCAAATACTTTATCTGTCTTTATGATACCATTTTCTGAAATGAATAAGGGAAATCTTTTACTCAGGAAATGACAGGACCAAATGCATCTTAGAATAATTATTCTAGCTACACTACAGAGACTGGAATGAAAGTAAGCAAGATAAAGTATTCACAACACAAGTTAATACTAACATCACAACTTCAATAACAATAGCAGGAATGGAGGAAAGTGGAAGGATTCGTGGTGCCTTCCATTTGGAAGCTCCACCTGACTCACTGTGCTTGGCAACAAGAGTGGGTGCAATAGGAGGAATGCCTGAGCTGCTGATCCCATCCACCGCTTTGAAAAATCCTCAACAAGGGCAAGAGATCAGGAAAACAACAGTTATTCAGGAACTAAATATCACAGAAACTGTCTGGGACTTGCAAGTTCAAAGCAATGGCCATAGGAAGGAGCTTGAAAATCCGTGATTTTAAAGGTGCCAAGATCATTCAACGAAATTGTGGGGTTTTTTTCTTTTTTTTTTTTTTTTTTCTCAACAAATAGTGTTAGGACAAATGGATGGCCACATGTGAAAAAATGAACTTCAATGCTTAACTCACACTGTGTGCAAAAATCACTCAATAGATCAAAGACTTAAACAAAATATTGTGGCAGCAGTTAATAGCTCATGTACCTGAGACCCTGTCACCCACATGGGAGACCCAGATGGACTGCCTGACCCTGTCTACAGTCTGGCTCATTCCCTGGCTTTTGGGACCATCTAGGGAATGAACCAGCAGATGGAAGATATCTGTCTCTGATATTCTTTGCCTTTTAATAAAAAAGCCTTTTGAAAAGATGTAAGAAGGCCCACGTGATAGTCTAGTGGATAAAGTCCTTGCCTTGCATGCACTAGGATCCCATATGGGTGCTGGTTCTAATCCTGGCTGCTTCCCATCCAGGTTCCTGCTTGCGGCATGGGAAAGCAGTTGAGGACAGCCCAAAGCCTTGGCACTCTGCACCCATGTAGGAGACCCAGAAGAAGCTCCTGGATCCTGCCTTTGGATTAGCTCAGCTCCAGCCTTTGGGATCACTGGAGAGAGAACCGGTAGATGGAAAATCTTTCTTTCTGTCCCTCCTTTTCTCTGCAGATCTGTCTTACCAATCAAGAGTTAAAAAATTTAAAAACACAGACACACAAAATGACCCTCTGTCACATTAAAGTGCCTGGGTTTGCTGCCAGGTTCCAGCTCCAGATTCTAGCTTTCAGCTAATCAAAACCCTGGGAGGCAATGGGGATGGTCTAATAATAAAGTTCCTACCATCCACATGAGAGATCCAGATTAAATTTTATTTTTTATATTTACATAGTTGATGGGGTGGAAGGGTTGAGTATGTGAGAAAGGTGGGCGAGACCATTCTTTTACACATTTTTTTTCTTCCTGTATCTATCTGGATCTACCCCCACTTTTGAAAACACCAAGAGAATAAACCATTGGATGAAAGATTTCTCTATTTCTCTGCCATTCAAACTGTAAAATTAAATACACACACACAGTTTCTTTGATCCTTTTCTTACTCCACAAGTGTAGAAACCAATGAAATTAACTAAAATTACTAAGTGACTCAGAAATATACTAAAAAGCTAATATGGAGTAGGCACAGAGGCTAACAAATTAAACTGCCAGTTATCCCATCCTCTTTTTCTGTGTGGGGTGGGGAGGGAAGGGTGTGTGGTATGTGTGTCACTCTTCCTTTCAAATAAATAAATTCTTAGGAAAAAAACCTGCCTGCATCAAGGTTCAGAATTAAGTTTCACTGGGCAAATACTGTGTAGTTCCCCACAGTAATTGCCCCTACAAGGTTATTACTTATATTTGATCAGGATTCCACATTGTGAAAAATGCTTAAACCAAACCATCCTAAATTACTGCAGTTTTTCCAATTTAAAAACCTACGACCTGTGTCAGTGTCCTGAAACATTTCTAACAAAAGTCCTATGATACTTCATGTTGCACGTGTACCTGAGTTAATGGTAAATCTGCAAATGTACTAGGCTTTTTGAACAAGTAGCAGCTAAAGAACCATCCATACCATGTTGCCCTAGAGTCTAATAATTATAACAGAAAGGTAAATAAAAACAACGAAAAAAAAACAATTATAACAGCTAATTTGGTTCAAATATGTAAGTGATCCAAATGAGAAGTTAGCAGGATGCAGAAGGGAAAATGGAATAGCATCCAAGCTACAAGCCACTAAAATGCCTGAAAAAATAGGGCTTTGGCAATAAGGCATACAGGTGCCTTCAAACTGGAGAGGCAGAGAGGAAAACCAAAGAATCAAATCCCAAGAAACCACATTAAAGATACTATTCAGGACCTATGGATCAAATACGAAGAAAATAAAACTGTGGCGTGATTTCAAGCAATTGGTGAAGTGTAAAAATAAGAAAAGCTTCTGGGGCCCCTGCACCCATGCGGGAGACCTGAAACAAGTTCCAGGCCCAGCTCCAGCAGCTGCAACCATCTAGGAAATGAAACAGCAGACGGCTCTTTCTCCCTCTTCCTCTCTCATACTCTCTCACTCTCACTCTCTCTCTGTATGTGTGTACGTATGTATGCGTGTCTCCCTCTCTGTAACTCTGCCTTTCAAGTAAATACCTAAATCTTTTTTTTTAATCAGCAAAATAAAATATAGCTTTATCGCCAGAATGAAAATCCCATTGACTCTGGCAAAAGAGCTGCTAACAAATTCAGGAAAGAGAGGGGAGAGGAAGTTTCCTAACACTGTTTTCCTACAAAGTAGTTGGGAGAGGGTGAGGGATATGCAGCCACTTTGCACAACCACACCTCCTGTTGCAGTACCTGGCTTGTGCCCCAGGACCTCTGCTTCCAATCTAGCTTTCTGCTAACAAGACACCCTAGGAAGCAGACAATGGCCCAAACACTAGGGTCTGCCACTTCTGTTGGAAACCTGGAATGAACTCCAAGCTCCCGATTTTGGCTAGCCCAACCCTGAAGACAGTAGGCCTCTAGGCAGTGAATTAATGGACTGAAGATCTTTTTTTTAAGTAGACAGGCTTAGGAGCTGGGGTAAGTTTGTAAATTACAGTACAGGAAAGAATTAAGAACACAAATGAGAGGTTAAAGGATACAACGTAAAGTTTCACTCATAAACCACAAAAGAGAAACCAAAAGGTACAATGTAACTATCAAGGCAAGATTCTGTCTCTAGTGTACAAGTGCTCATCCAACTTGGCAGGAGGTCAGCAAATGCTGTCTAAAGTTGATAAAACGAGGAGTAGCATTTCAGGCATATGGCTTAGATATGAAAATAATCAGAAAAAAAATTAATTCAACGGGGCTCATCAGTCTGAGTTCAGGAAAGGAAATGCCGTAGACAACTTTCACTACATCCTTCTTACATTTTGATCATGTACATATAGTACTCAACTTAAAGTTTCTTTTTAATTCTCTGCACTGAATCATCATAATATGTGTTAATAAGTACGATGAAAAGTGTTGTCTCTTCTTCAGTAATGCATTTTAACTGGATGCATTCAGGAGGTCCGTAACCATGAGTAGGATTACAGTTAAGTTCTTGTCAATGGGAGGTAGACAAGAATGATGTATGCAACCTCCACACTGATTCCCTTGAAAGACTCTGCTCTCCTGGAATATGGAAATGATTTCAAAGATTTATTTATTGGGCCTGGGGCGATGGTGTAGCAGTGCGATCTCATATGGGTACCAGTTCTAATCCCGGCAGCCCTGCTTCCCATCCAGCTCCCTGCTGGTGGCCTGGGAAAGCAGTCAAGGACTGCCGAAAGCTTTGGGACCCTGCACCCGTGTGGGAGACCCGGAAGAAGCTCCTGGCTTTGGATTGGCTCAGCTCCAGCTGTTGCGGCTGCTTGGGGAGTGAATCATCGGATAGATCTTCCTCTCTGTCTCTCCTCCTTTCCTCTCTGTATATCTGCCTTCCAATAAAAAGAAATACATCTTGTTTAAAGATTTTTTTAAAGTTTTATTTATTTATCTATCTATTTATTTATTTGAAAGTCAGATTTACAGAGACAAGGAGAGACAGAAAGATCTTTCATCGACAGTTTCACTCTCCATGTAGCCACAATGGTTGGAGCTGAGCCCAACTGAAGTCAGGGGCCAGGAGCTTCCACCAGGTCTCTGATGTGGGCACACAGTCCCAAGGCTTTGGGCCATCCTCTACTGCTCTCCCAGGCCACAAGCAGGGAGCTGTAAGGAAAGTGGAGCAGCCAGGATATGAACCGGCACCTATATGGGATCCCAGTGCATGCAAGGTGAGGACTTTATCCACTAGGATACCACACCAGGCCCAGAATACATTAACTACAAAGGTAAACCAGCTCCAACCTTATCAATGACAAGAGCATAGCAACAGGACAGAAGGAGTCTTGCTCGCCGACAGCACTCAACCACCATATAAGCCCTGAACGGACAGTATTTGGATTGTTATGGGAGACAGCCACTGTGATTCTGGTCTTTGTTACAGCAGCTTAACACATACATAATGCATAAAGTATAGCAGTAGGAATGTGAGATCAGTCTGAAGAACAGAATGAGAGTTGGAGCATAGGAGCTAAGCAAGAAAGGCTTGTGCTTGCTGCAGTAAGCTTTAGGCCTAGGTAGAAGAATGACAACAGAAAGCATGCTAGGAAAATCAGCATGAGACAAAATGGACTTGAAAGGAGGGGAATTCAAAGGGAGACAGGGGACAACATTGTAGTACAGAGGGTAACCCATGGCTGACACCGACAGTCCATGTCAAAGCACTGGTTTAAGTCCTGGCAGTTCTGGCGCAGATCCAGCTTCCAGCTAATGTGCTTTGGAAGATGACTAAAGTACTTGGGGTCTTATCACCCATGTCCTAGACCCAGATAGTGATTCTGGCTCCTGGCTCCAGCCTGGCTATTCCAGCTGGGAGATGCTGCTTGCAATGCTTACATCCCTATCAGAGTGTCTGACTCAGAACCAGCTTCCTGCTTACGAGCACCCTGGGAGGCAGCAGCAGGCTCAAGTATTTAGGTTCCTGTCATTTCTGCAAGAGACCAGGACTGTGAGCCTAGCTCCTGGCTTCCATGTGGTCCAGCCTGCATGCTATGGATATGCAAAAGGCAAATAGCAGGTGGAAGATCCTTTCTTTTCTTTCAAATAAAATAAAATAAATAATAAACAATGGGGACGATAGAGTAGTGGTTAAAGTCCTCGCCTTGAATGCGCCAGAATCTTATAATCCCAGCAACCCTGCTTCCCATCCAGCTCCCTGCTTCTGGCCTGGGAAAGCAATTGAGGATGGTACAATGCCTTGGGGCTCTGTATCCACATGGGAGATCTGGAAGAGCTCCTGGCTCCTGACTCCTGAGTTCGGATTGGCTCAGCTCTGGCCGTTGTGCCCGCTTGGGGAGTGAACCACGGGACGGAAGATCTTTCTCTCTGTCTCTCCTTCTCTCTATATATCTGTCTTTCCAATAAAAATAAATAGATCTTTTAAATGGTAATAACAATACTACTAATAATAAACTATGTCATTAAAAACTCACTAAAATTTAGAAAAGTCTTTAGAAACCTAATGTGCATTCAAATTTCATGATGAATGCTCTTCTATAACATTCCTTAAATTGGTCAACTGTTAGTGACGTCAACAAATTCAATAACAGAAAACACTCTTTTTCTTTTTTTGTTTCCACATTAATATTATTTTTCTCTGTATCTGGGGTAAGAAGAGAGATAAAAGTAAAAGCCCCATCCAGCCTCCCACTCATCCCAGGTCCCCAACGTGGGGCATGCTCCAAGGGTCCTGCTCATGCAGTTTTGATAGTTCAACAATTCTGAATTGCTGCCAGTCTCACCACTCCAAGCATGATGAAATCTCTTCAGAATCCACTGGTTGACATAGTCTTTTCAAGGTTGGGGTTCTGAGATCAGCAGTTCAGTTGGAGGGATCCCCAGAGAAACTTCATCTGAGGTGATCCTAGGCCAGATTCTTGTGTGTGCTTGCCAGTACAGGGTCCAACACAGTCCCTCACCCCAATCAGCTTATGCACATGCTGGTGGTTGCATTTGCGGAGTCAGTTCTGTTTCCAGCCCTGTCTTGCACGGGAACCAATGGGTGTTGCAGTCCAGCTGGATCTTGTCCACTTCATACTGGGCCCTCACGCAAACCAATGGGAGCTGCAGCCTAGTTGGGGTGACTCCTCAGAACTTCCATCAGGCCTGCTCCTACCCTGTTTCCCATGCTTGCCAGTATGTACCAGACTTATTCAGTCTGCCCCACGTCCCATTCAGTTCTCATACATGTCAATGGGCATTGAAGCCTAGTGCTACCCAACCTGCCCTATTATCCAGCCCACAGACTTACTGGTGGGTACTGTTCTGTCCAGCCACCCCTGCCCCAATCCTGGTAGAAAACACTATTTTTCAAAGCTGACTTTGGTTGTGAACTCTTCCTTACTATATGTCTTACAATACTCTGGTATCAGCAAGGTGGTTCAATAGGCTAATCCTCAGCCTGGTAGTGCCAGCAATCCCACAAGGGCACTGGTTGGTGTTCTCACTTCTCCACTTTTGAACCAGTTCCCCGCTAATGAATTGGGAAAGCAGCAGATGATGGCACAGGTCCTTGAGCCCCTGTACCCACGTGGGAAAGTCAAAGAACCTCCAACCATTGCGTACATTTGAGGAATGAACCAGCGGATGGAAGATCTCTCTATGTCTCTCCTCTCTGTAAATCCACCTTTCAAATAAACCAAAATAACAACTTTTTTACAAAGTCAAAATCTGCCTTTCAATTTTCCTGGTTTGGGCCCATTTTAATGACATTTCTTTAACTATTTAAGCACCCTTTCTCAGTCTGCAGGAAGGCATTGTGGCCCAGAAGGGGAAGAACCTGTGAGGTTAGCATTCCTCACCACCCCAGTTGCTCAGTTCCCAATGCAACTTCCTGCTGCTGTGCCTGGGAAAGAAGCAGAGGATGGCCCACGTGCGGCAGCTCCTGACACCCACCGCAGAGACTCACACCTGCGGCAGCTCCCGACACCCACGGCAGAGACCCACACCTGCGGCAGCTCCCGACACCCACGGCAGAGACCCACACCTGCGGCAGCCCGACACCCACGGCAGAGACCCACACCTGCGGCAGCCCGGACACCCACGGCAGAGACCCACACCTGCGGCAGCTCCCAACACCCATGGCAGAAACCCACACCTGCGGCAGCTCCTGGACACCCACGGCAGAGACCCACACCTGCGGCAGCTCCCAACACCCACGGCACAGACCCACACCTGCGGCAGCTCCTGACACCCACAGCAGAGACCCACACCTGCGGCAGCTCCTGGCCTCTATCTAGCCTGGCCTCAGAGCCTGCAGCCACCTGGGAGTAAACCAGAGGATGTAAGCTCACTTGATTTCCATCTCTCTTTCTTTCTCTCTCTCTCTGTAACTCTTTCAAATAAATTATTTTTTAAAAAAGAATATCAACTCATCAAAGAACCATAGAAAACACCAATCCTCCTATTATCTTCAACTTCCATCTTGACCATCGTTTATTGTCACTTTTAAAGCAAGTCTGCCAAAAAAGAAACTTGCTTCTTCCACAGCCTGAAGTTCCATTACACAGAACATGATACCACAAGCAGCTAGGCCTAGTAGAGCCCAACAGAACCTTCTGTGAGATAATACCGCTGCATCTACTCTGTCCCACAGGGCAGCCACTAGCTTCAGGTGGCTTTTACCTCTTTCAAAATGATTAGTATGATAAAATGATGGAATTTTAAATTTTATTTAGTTTTAATTAAAGTAGATACATATTGATATTGAAAATTTAAAAATCATATAAATTCATTAGCATTCAATGCACTATAAATTACTTACTAGTATGTTTCCACACATAAATAAAAAAGACCAATTAGCTAGAATTACTTAAGCAAGAAGCTGAAACTAAGCTTGCACAAGTGTTACAAAAGAGGCTCAGCAACCTGACTACTGTAACTTCCTCTCCCCCATCAGAGGTCTAGTAGGAAGCCAAGTACTTTCAATACCAACTATGCTAAACATTCCTAACTAGATTTTCTGGGGAGAAAAAAAAACTCCCTGGAAATTTTAACTAAGAACAATAATACAATACATTAAAGTGATTATAAACCCACAGGGTAAAGATCTAGTCTTGGTTCACCACAAAGTTGACCAAAAAAGAAGTCTTTCAAGAGCTTGATTACAAATCCCAGCCACAGCCAAGCATCTAATGGTGATCATCTACAGCAGGTGGAAACGACTTGATCACAATTCATGCACAGACTGTTTCAGATACATATACTGCAAGAGCAGGCACTCAGATCCCATTAGGAAACCTCATACCTGCATTTACGGCATACTGAGATTATGCACACTTTATAATACTGCCTCAGTTACATAAATGTCCCTTTCCAAATATCTGTCCGGGAAGTGAACACCGGCAATGACTGACAAAGCTCTCCCTCTCAACCGTTTTCATTACTAAACATTAAAAACACAACTTTCTCATTTCAAGTATTGTTTTAAAAAGTCCGATGACTTTTAAAAAGTGCCAAGGACGTGACTCTATTTCTCTTTTGCCTTTGCAGTCCTAGCACAGAGCTAAGCACCTGCAGCCCTTAACACACTCACGGGGAACCTCTCCTGAAGAACCTGGGCCGGAACCCAAACATTTTTGCAGCAAAACAAACAGTATCCTTTCATTCCATTTTCCACGAACTATTTGAAGTCCTCTGATACAGTGAATAATCAGTATGTATTAGGCAGGAAGGGAACGGATAAGTATGACTTTATTTTAGAAGATTCAAAGACTACTTTTTAAAAAATGTTCCCAGATGCCAAGTTGATTACAGATCCAATGTGTAGGACAAACATGAAAAAGCAAGAGGGGGGGGCAATAAAAATATAAAAACAGGGCAACTGAAGATACCACGTGGCAGAATCCGATTATTCGCAAAGTTAACAGCCAAGAGAGAGCTATAATGCTGCCCAGTTGCAATTATGTATGCATCGCGTTCTTTCTGGTCTCCTCAACAGACGGCGACACTATATTTCAATTTAAAAAAAGAAAGTGACACAGCACTCATCCCACCCTAAAATTATCATCAGAAGAAGAAATACAATAACTGAAGAGAATGGTCTAAAGAAACTTCCTCCCTTGGTTTTTAAAGCCAGCGGTAGCCCGAAACACAGTATTTTTTGCTGGATTCGGGAATTCTAAACGCCCCCAAAACACAAGTCTCCCGGGAACAGCGTCCCGCCTCCGCCCCTACCCACCCTGGGCCCATTCTGTCCTCCTCCGTCCCCCACGGAGCTTCCCACCGGACAGCAGCCCGAGAAATTTCTCCCCGCATCCACAACAGCAGGATGCTCTCGCCTTCCTCCCCTCCCCTCGCGGGTATCAGACAGCCGCATCTCCCTCCGGAGGAAAACCCGGAGGGCGGGGGAGGCGAACAGGAGAGAAGTCCACGGAGCAGGAGGAGCAAGGTGAAGGACCGCGGGGGCCAGCCTGCGGTCCCCTCGGCTCCCTGCCCAGCGGCCAGGCCCACCGTGAAGTCACGCCCCTCGCCGGCCCAGGCCGGACCCGGGCCGCGCCCCCTTTTCGCCGGCGCGCCGGGGGACACTGAGCCCCAACAGCAGCGGCGGCGGCGGTGACCCCAGCGCACCATCTCCCCGCCGCCCGTCCTGCCAGGGACAGGTCCCGGGGCAGCCGGTGGCCAGCGCCTGCAGCTCGCCACCACCGTCCCGGCTCCGCAGGAGTCCTGCAACCGACGCGGAGTGGAGGTGGGGGCGGGGGCCGGGGCTGGCCCCCAGAACGTTCCGGACGGTCCAGGGGACCCTGTCCAGGCCTAGCCTGCCCCAACTGCCCCACACCGGGCGGGGGTGGCACTTACTGCGGAGATTGTGGATCAGCTCCGAGTGGCTGGCGCCGCCGGATTTCCAGGCCATCGCTAGGCACACTCGGAGCAGGTACAGAACCACCTTCAGGGCGGCGACGGTCCCCAACAGTTTGGCCAAGAGTGAGACCACCTCCCACACGGTCACCGCCCCGCTCGCGTCCCCGCTGGAGGAGCCGCCGCCGCCGCCGCCGCCGCTGCCGCCACTGCGCGCTCCCGGCATCCCCCGCGGCACGCATGCGCCCTACGACGCCGCGCGGCCCGGGGCGCGGCCGGGCGGGGCCGCTAGGGCGGGAAGGCCTGGTGCGTTCTGCCCCGGGCGGCGGCCGCTGCGGGCTCCCGAGGGCCGCAGGCTGAGTCGGCGGCGCCGCAGCCGCTGCGTGACCCCTTCCCGAGGCCTCGGGACTGGTCGCCCGGCCTGTGCCTGGCGGTCCCCGAGCTCGGCGGCGGGATGACAGGCCGATCTGTGCGGCGGCTGCTGGCGGCTCCGTTGTCGTCGCCGCTGGGTCAGCTGAGGCGAGCGGCGGGTCTGCTCCTATAGCTGTCCAGATTGTTAGACGGTGGGGGCTTCCTGAAGTCCTGCCTCACCCAACCCCGTTGACCAACGTTTCGGTGGAGGAGACTGGACGTGAGCTCACGGAGCTGGAGCCGGGAAGGACCCCGACTTCTGCGACCGGCTCTGCCCCGAGCGCTCCAGTCATTAGCTTTTGTGACTGGGGCCTCCCTGTTAACCCTGGATTGTTCTCAACTCCAGAGAAGCACACAGGCGCGCGGGAGAGCAGCGCTCCTGGGGGCGTGGTGAGGGGGAATGCTTGGCTCCTTCAGAACAAAGGGAGCAAGCTACCGTGGGGGACAGGTAGCGCAGCGTCCTAGGGCTAAGGTGTCCTCGCAACACGGGTGTGCGCTTTCAGCCCACAGAGCCTCAGAGAGGTCACTCCCCGTGTGGATGCTAGCTGTGTCCCTTGAGAGAGAACCACTGGCGTGGACACTGCCTGCGGCGTCCGCATCCCTGACTCCTAAACTAGCATGGAGACTGACAGAACCCAGCCACCACTTAGTTTAGTAAACTTTCAGGAAACCAAAATAAAAGTCACAACTGATATTACAGCAGCCACAGATTTGAAAGTCTAGTTCTTACCAGAGCTTGTCTAATGTGACGTTCCAAACAGACGCAATTCCTATTTTGTGGGACTCTGTGATCAGAAGTGGGAACACACACAATTGTTCTTTACACCGACGTCTGATAGGAATAAGATCGTTGGTGGGAAAAAGAATCCCTTTACCAGCTGCCACCTGCACGGTTACAGATTCCTGAAGGTCTTCAGCCGGAGAGTCCTCGACAGGACCACTGTCCTAGGGGCGTGACACGTCCACACAGTGCTTCCACAAACCGTCCCTGGGAAGTGGGACCACCACTTGAGGACAGCAACCCATCTCAACCTCTCTCCAAGAGCCGACACATAGAAATGGAATGTCATGTTTCTGGTATTCAGTAGGATTCACATCGTAACTGCAAAGGAACTGCAACAAAAGAAAATGAACAGAGAGGGGCTTGCATGATGGCTCAAAGGCTAAATCCTCCCCTTGCAAGTGCCAGGATCCCATATGGGCGATTCATGTCCCGCTACTCCATTTCCCACCCAACTCCCTGCTTATGGCCTGGGAAGGCAGTGGAGGATGGCCCAAAACTTTGGGACCCTGCACCTACATTAGAGATCCAGAAGAAGCTCCTGGTTCGTGGCTTTAGATCGGTTCTGACATTATACATTAACAATGTAGCCAAATAATTTGGGTACGAGGCTCAGGTTAACAAAATAGGCGCTTTCCTGGAGAAAGTTCCTTGAAAATTTAAGGATTTTGTGTTCTTTGATATGCACAGTGCCGCGCAAGCGAATATTGAGGTCTTGGTGGAAAGGTGGTTTCAAATGGAATGATTCTGTTTCATAAGCTCTTTAAGTTTCACATTGCACAGTTAGTGCACAAGTACGTTGTCTCGGTGTTTCTGTGCTGAAGTTGCGTGTCAGGCGCAGGTCCCACTGCACACAAGCCGAGTTGTGCTTGGTCGTGTTCACAGCCACCTCTGCCATCCCTGGTCGCTGACGGTCCAGTGCTCCTCACTGTCTGCACAGCCGGCCGATGAGGATTGGCTCAGTGCAGCCACCGTCGCCCCGGCGTGGCCCGACCCAATCAGAGCTCCGCGGGAAGGGGCGGGCCCGCGAGGCGCGCGTTGTGCCGGACAAGTATCCGCCGTGGTCCCTTCAGGCATGGAGGAGCTGTTGTATGCCAAGTTCGTCTCTCAGAAAATCAGCAAAACCCGCTGGCGGCCGGTGCCCCCGGGGAGCCTGCAGATCGCCGAGACCTTCGCCACGGGCTCCTGGGACAATGAGGTACCGCTGCTGGTGGGGCGGGGGTGCCAGGTGCGCGCAGGCTTCTCTGGCCGTGCTCGCCCTTCGGGGGTCCTCCCCGGCCTCGGTGTGCCGGAGCCTCCCGTCTCCCCGTGCTTTGGAACCTAGGTAGATTTCAGGCACTGTAAATTTCATTCCCTTTACGAGCGTTGTTGTTGCTGTCATCTCAAGAGGAAACTTTACCGCTTTGTAGGAAAACCATGTTTCCCTGTGGTCTGTCGGGGATTTCGGAAACTCGGACTACGATGGAGGCTTAGAAGGAGACCATCGCTTGCTGTGCGATATCAGACACCACGGCGATGTCATGGACTTACAGGTAAGTGTGTGGAGTCGCACTCTGAGCTAACGCGAAGCTGGCTTCTCTAGGTGATGATTGGCCCGATATAGATTCTGTGCTCACTGGCACGGTCAGAGAACTTGGAAAGAAGTAGGTGAAAAAGGGTTTTAAGTTAATTACCTAACTCCTATATACAAACAGTATTGACAGAGTTTTACGTAACTTCGTTTTAATTGCATGCCTGTGAATCAAATATTATTTCTCACCCTCTAGAATTATCTTTTGAGCACACACTACTAAGGATCTCTGAAGTTTGTGGAAAATGCATGTTGTGAAAAAGACTGCACAGGTTTAGAAGTTTTTTGTATCAAAATAGTCTGTCTTTTCATTTTCCACAAACGTTTTGAAGTATCTTCATTTCTGACATACTGTGCAGGGCAGGTGTTTTTGTTTATGTGAAATCCAAGTTACAGAGAGAAGAAGGGACACAAAGAGACACACACTTCCATCTACTTGGTCACTCCCCTAGAAGGCTGCAGTGGACAGGGCTGGCCCAGACCAAAACCGAGAGCCCAGAGTTTCTTCCAGGCCTCCCACGTGGATGCAGCGACACACACACTTGGGCCGTTTGCTGCTGCTTTCCATTGGCATCGAAAGGGAGCTGAATTGAAAGTGGAGCACCCGGGACTTGAACTGGTATCCATGTGGGATGCTAGCATCACTGGTAGAGGCTTAAGATCCTGTGCAATAGTGCTGAGCCCTGAAGTTTACTTTTCTTTCTTTGTTTTTTTTTTTTTTTTTTTATGATTTATTTATTTTTATTGGAAAGGCAGATATACAGAAAGGAGGAGAGGCAGAGAGGAGGATCTTCTGTTCAATGATTCACTCCCCAATGGCCGCAACAGCCAGTGCTGTGCCAATCTGAAGCTAGGAGCCAGGAACTTCCTCCAGGTCTCCCATGCAGGTGCAGGGTCCCAAGGCTTTGGGCCGTCCTTGTCTGCTTTCCAAGGCCACAAGCAGGGAGCTGGATGGGAAGTAGGGCTGCCGGATTAGAACTGGCACCCATATGGGATCCCAGCACGTTCAAGACAAGAACTTTAGCTGCTAGGCCACCATGTTGGGCCCTGAAGTTTACTTTTCAAAGAAAACTTTCTTGAATTCTAGTCTAAGTAGAATTAGTGCTGTTTCAAAATATATGTATTTAAAGATTTATTTTATTTTTTATTGGAAAGTCAGATAGAGGAGGAGAGACAGAGAGGCACATCTTCCATTCGCTGATTTACTCCCCAAGTGGTCACAATGGCCAGAGCTGCACTGATCCAAAGCCTAGAGCCCAGAGCCTCCTCCAGGTCTCCCAAGTGGGTATAGGGTCCCAAAACTTTGGGCCATCTTCGACTGCTTTCCCAGGCCACAGGCAGGGAGCTGGATAGGAAGCGGGGCTGCCGGGCTACAAACCAGTCCCCATTTGGGATCCTGGCACATGCAAGCCAAGAACTTTATCCACTGGGCTACTGTGCCAGGCTAAGATATTAAAAAAAAAAAACATTTTGGAGAACTCCCATGCATTGATTCATTTACCAGATGCCTTTAGCAGGCAGGAACCAGGCGCCAGACCCTCAGTTCAGGTCTCAGTGTGTGTCCCTCCGTGGGTGGCAGGGACCCAGTTTCTTGAGCCATCGCTGCTGCTTTGCAGGCTGTGCATTAGCAGGAAGCAGAAGTCCGGAACCAAAATTGGTCATAGAACCCAGATCATGGAAACTTGAGTCTGTCAGCCCACCATCATAGCAAGCCAAATGGCCACTGCATTCCAAGACTCAAACTAGGAGATACAGAGACTGGGGGGAAGAGACAAGGAGAGATCTTCCATCTGCTGGTTTACTCCCTACATCACTACAACAGTGCTAGCTGGGCTGGTTCAAAACCGGGAGTCTAGAGCTATGGCTGGGTCTCCTATGTGAGTTCAGGGAACCAGGCTCTGCTGCCTTCCCAGGTGTACCAGAGGAAACTGGATTGGAAGTTGAGCAGCCAGGCTTCAAAGCGGTGCCCAAACGAGAGGCTGGCACCATAGACTTGGCCTTGCTGACCATGCCACCACACTGGCCCCAGACTTAGAGATTTTAACCATCCATGCTTCCAGTCAATAGTAAGAGGTAGGGATTAAAAATTAGGTTTTCAAATCCCAGTTTGTTCTCAGAGTCTCAGCATTCTATAAAAACCTGCCAGGCCTAGGAATGATATTTGAAGCTTTATTTATCATGGTTCGAAGCAATTATAGACAAATGAGTTAGAAAAAATTAACTGTCATTTTTTTCTTCAGAAAAATGCCTTTATTTGTATAGCAGTGTTAACTTTTAGGCCCAACAAATTTTATTTGCTTGGCATTTATAGAATTGTTATATGATTTGCTATAAACTTAGTTAAACCAAATGGGTTTCATCCCTACAAGTATTTCTGAATCCATAATAAGAAATTTTTCTGTTCAGTTTTTTGACCAGGAAAGAATTGTAGCTGCTTCATCAACAGGATCTGTAACAATTTTCCTTTACCATCCAAACAACCAGGTAAAGAAGTTTAATTTGAAAAATGAATTTGTATCTTTTTTTTAAAAAAAACTTAAAGAAGATTGTAATTAATTTAAAAGTCTTGAGATATGAATGGGGAGGTTTTCACTATACCCTTTGTATTAATTTAACTTTAAAACCATGTTTTTGTGAGTTATTACTGCACTAGAGTAAATTCAATACATTCTGTTAGTTTGGATGTAACACTTGGGTGATATAGCTCTTAATTGGCCTGTGATTTCTCCTTTTTAAGTTCCTATTCTAGTCTTTGTAAGAAAGAGCAGCTGTTAGTTTAGGCATGGTAGCAGAGAGCATGGTAGGCTCTTTTGCCTCTGGCCGGAACTCAGGTCTTCATCAGAATACAGTTTGTGCTGTGAGAAAACTTAACAGCTAATTCTCAGAGCTTTCTTGTGTACTGAAGCCCAACAGTGAAGGCAGTTCTCTGAAATAACTCCATTAGCAGTGACATCGTTGGAGCTGCTGGAGGAGAGTGTGGATTTAGGATTTTGGGTTAAACACCCCCTTGCTTATAGGCATGCCTAGTGAATGTAATACCCAGATGCTCTGAAGTTTTTTTTTTCCTCAGTGAAGTCTCTTAGGAAAGGCAGTAGAGATTTACTTGTTACATACACTTATTTCCCATGATTGTAAAGCATATATTAATTTGAGATAAATGTGGGACATCATTAAGACACATTGCTTTTGAACCTAGAACTATGAGGGTCATTCCTTCTGAGTATTGATACTATGACATGCAGAGGAGAGGGAGAGAGTTACACTTAATAAAAACTAGGAGTTAGACCTTAAAATACTCTGGTCGCGTGCTAGTGCCCTGGTGTTTGCTTTAATTACTTCTGTCCTTGTTTCTGATGCCTAGACGCTGTCAGTCAGCCAGCAGTGGAACGCAGCTCACTATCACACAGGTCCCGGCAGTCCTTCCTATAGCAGTGCGCCATGTACGGGAATTGTGTGTGACAACCCAGAAATTGTTACGGTTGGAGAAGACGGTCGAATCAATCTCTTCAGAGCTGATCATAAGGAAGCTGTAAGAACCATAAGTAAGAAGAATCGTCCCACGTCTTTTCTGTTACACAGAATACTAAATAAACACAAGGCCAAGAGGGGGTTATAAATACACAAGGCAAGTTCATAAAAGTAACTGACCACAGGAGTGAAAGATAACATGCCGGACAAGGAGTGGCACAGAACCAGATAGAGGTCAACAACTATTTGGAGCAAACATAGTTTGACCTGACTTTAATTATTTAAATTAGAGAGACAAACAGTGAACCCAAAAAGGTAAATTGAGCCCAGGTTGTGAAAATTCTGTAATGCTAAACCACAAGTGTTACGTATTTTTTAGCTGGAAAACTAAAGAGGCCTGAGAAGGTTTTGAGCAGGGGAGTGATAGTCTCCAAGTCTTGCTTTTGCAGAACAATCCTAGGATGGTGCTCTGAGCAGCACTTCGCCCAGACTGCCGGGGCAGTTGCTAAGCACCAACTTAGGCCCCTCAGTCAGCATCCCCGGAGAGTGAGCCAGGAATCATGTTTGTGTATTATTTGCTACAGATTTTACTTCTGAAATACTTGACATATCATTATTAAGAATGCTTGCCTGCTGGTTTAACATTTATAAGTATAGATTAAATTATATCCCATGAAAATCTAGCAATTCAAAGAAAAGGATCATTATCATAATGGCAGTCAGGGAGGATCTTTTGGAGATGAAAAGAAAGACGAATAGATTTGAGGTGAATTAGCAGAATAATGCAAAGAGTAAGATCTACAGGGTATACCGAGTTTGGGTTCAATGTAAAATAGAAGTTCAGGGTCAAGGACTTGAAAAAGCTGAATATAGAAGAGCTTTATCAATTATCAAAAACACAGGGTCACAGTCCTAAGAGCATGTGAGGGAAGGTATCTGTGAAAACGGTTCTCCGTTAAGAAAGCGGCTCAGATGTCAGAGTTCTGTTTTTCAATCCAAGCAAAGTCTAAACCTATACATTACCACATGTTTTTCTGTAGACGTAAAAACCAGAATTCATTGGAAGCTTCATTTGTGAAATTTCAATCAGTAGGTGTGTGATTTAACATGTCCCTAAATTAAAAGGGATCCATTAACATGCATACCATTTTTTAAATTTGTAGACAATGCAGATAGCAGCACACTCCATGCCGTAACCTTCCTTCGCACTCCTGAGATTCTCACGGTAAATTCAATTGGACAGTTAAAAATATGGGATTTCAGACAACAAGGAAATGAGCCCTCGCAGATATTATCACTGTAAGTGCTGTTGCATAATTTCAGTAGTGTAATGCAATATCAGTTTGTTCAATCATTTATAGCAGTTGACTTCAACCCAGATTGCATTTTCAAATGATGCCTGATTCAATTTGATAGTGTAAGCTAACTTAAACTTGAGAATGCCAGGCTTCATGTAGTAACTGTGTCAGAAACTGTGCCATTGAATCAACATGCAAACATGGAATTTGGGAATCACAGGTGATGCCATAGTGTCTACCCCAGTGTATGGTATTTGTAAAAACCTAAGGAATGGAAATGTATTTTATGTGTCCTACCATCACAGTATCTTGCTTCCCATGTCTCCAGATAAAGAAAGGAGTAATTTTCACCATGAATTTCAGAAGGGTTTTTTGTTGTTGTTGATTAGAAGGATATTTAGTTAATTTTCTTACTGTGTCTTTTCTTAAAAAACAGTATAGATCGTTGACATTTATTGTTTTTTTAACATACTGTGATATTTAAATTCATGTGTACAGTGTGTGATGATGAGATCGGGGTGATTGAGTATTACCTCCTTTGTCATTTCCTGGTGTTGAAAACATCCCTTATCCTCTCTAGTAACTATTCGAAATAGTCAATCAGTTTTTGCCAACCATTTATCCTGTTGTGCTAGGTAGAACATTAGAAATTATTCCTTCTATTCATCTACCTCTCTGTGCCTGTTAACTGTCCTCTCTTCAAACATCCCTTCTCATAAACCCAGCCCCAACTCTGGCAACCACTGGTATATTTCAGCTTTTATGAGACCAACTTAAGCTTCCTGTAAGTGAAATTATGCAGTGTTTCTCTTTCCGTGCCTGATTTATTTCACTTAGCATAATGTTTTCCAATTCCATGCATATTGCTGCAAGTACCAATTTTTATTATGGTTTCAGGCTCTGTTTAGCTCTGTGTGTGTGTGTGTGTGTGTATATATATATATATATATATATATATATATCTGTATCATACTTGCTTCATCCATCTGCCTGTGGACACATAGAGTAATTCTGTGTCTTGGCTATTGTGAATAGTGCTACAGTAAAGATGGGAGTACAGATGGTTCTTCAACGTAACAACCCCAATTCCTTTAGATATATACTAAGTGGTAGGACTGCTGAATCATGCTAGTTATATTTCTGAGACTGTTTATATGGTATTTATTTCCATTTTATCTGAAAGACAAAAAGAGAGCTTCCCATTGATGGTTTACTCTCCAAATGCCCTTAAAAGCCAGGAATGAGCCAGTCCTCAACTGTGCCTAAATCAGGAGAGTGGCCCTCGGTGCCAGTCTTCCCCGTCGATGGCAGATATCTAACGACTTGGGGAGTCACCTGCTCTCTCCCAGGATGCACATGAGCAGGAAGCTGGCATTTTGACCGGGCACTCTAGCATGGGAGCAGGTGTCCTGGGGGCGACCTAACTGGTACACAGAATACCTGCCACTGTTCTAGTTTGTGCTGGGGCTGTGCTAAATTCCCACCAGGAGTATATGGGAATTGCTCTTCGTTCACATTTTTCTTGATTCATTTCTTTGGTGATAACTGTTCTAACTGAAATCAGTGGATAGTTCATTGTAGTTTTTTTTTTTTTAAGATTTATTTATTTTTATTGTGAAGTCAGATATACTGAGAGAAGGTGACACAGAGAAAAATATCTTCCATTTGATGATTCACTCCCCAACTGACCGCAAAGGCTGGTACTGTGCCAATCCAAAGCCAGGATCCAGGAACTTCCGGGTCTCCCACACGGGTGCAGGGTCCCAAGGTTTTGGGCCATCCTCGACTGCTTTCCCAGGAGACAAGCAGGGAGCTGGATGGGAAGATGGGCTACCGGGATTAGAACCAGTGCCCATATAGGATCCTGGCACGTTCAAGGCAAGGACTTTAGCCACTAGGCCATGGCTCCGGGCCCCTCATTGTAGTTTTTGATCTGGTTGATTTTTTTTTTTTATAACACCAAGTTTTTTATTCATTTCAACTGATTGTTTCATTTTGTTCAATTAATTAATCTTAAATATTATTATTATTAAAGATTTACTTATTTTTCATTGTAAAGTCAGATATATACAGAGAGGAGGAGAGAGAGAGATCTTCCATCCAATGATTCACTCCCCAAGTGACCGCAATGGCCGGTGCTGTGCCGATCTGAAGCCAGGAGTGCAGATCCTCTGATCTGGTTAATTTTTTTGGCATCATTAAGATTGAACCTGTAGCTCTAGCCATTGATAAACTACACTTCACAACCTACCTGATGGCATTGTGTTTCTCCCAAAAGGACCGGAGACCGAGTGCCGCTGCACTGCATTGACAGACATCCCAACCAGCAGCACATTGTCGCTACCGGAGGCCAGGACGGGATGCTGAGTGTCTGGGATGTAAGGCAGGGTACCATGCCCGTGTCTCTGCTGAAGGCTCATGAGGCCGAGAGTAAGTAAGATGCTGCTTTACATGATGTAACCTTCCATCAGTGAGACTCACGTACATCATCTCACATCGTGGCTTTTCTCTTCTTATTAAGATTTATCTTTTTTTTATTGGAAAGACAGGTTCATATGGAGAAGGAAAGACAGAGGGAAAGATCTTTCACCCACTGGTTCGCTCCCCAGACGTCCACAATGTCTGGAACTGAACCAGTCCTGAACTGGGAAGCAGGGGCTTCCTCTGAGTCTCCCAAATGGGTGTAGGATCCCAAGGCTTTGGACCATCCTCCTCTGCTTTTCCAGGCCATAGGCAGCAAAGCTGAATAGGAAGTGCAGCAGCTGGCACATGAAACAGTGTCCATATGGGTTTCCAGCACTTGGAAGTGGAGGATTAGCCAATTAAACCATTGCACCGTACTCCCACCACCCAACATCATAGCTTTTAATCACTGAATTATCTACATTTAAATTGTCAATCCCTTGTTTTATTTGATATTTAACTTCTATAGCATGTTTTATTATTTGAAACTATAATGAATATAATTAGTCTTAAAATTGATGGTTCAAAACTTTTGCATAATTTTAAAAGCTGTAATATAGGTTTACCAAATTGTTCTGTATAAAAATACCAATTTATTAGGCCCAATGTGATCGCTTAACTGGATAATTCTTCCCTTTAAGGGCTGCAATCCCGCATATGTGCCTGTCCATGTCCCCAATGTTTCACTTCCCATCCAGCTCCCTGCTTGTGGCCTGGGAAAGCAGTGGAGGACAGCCCAAAGCTTTGGGACTCTGCACCTGCATCGGAGACCCAGAAGAGGCTCCTGGCTGCAGATTGATTTGGCTCCGGCTGTTGCAGTCACTTGATCAGTGAACCAATGGATGAAAGATCTTTCTCTTAGTTTCTCTGTAGATGTGCCTTTCCAATAAGAAAAAAGAAAAAACCCAACTCTTTATTTTAGCATATTGTGTGACAATGTCCTTTAACAGTGTTATGGAAGCTATTGTTAATATGTGCTAATATTTTGGGGGTGTATTCTATTGTCATGATTTTCTGCCAGAAATGTATTTGATTATACTGTCATATGATTCACAGTTATTGTCATTCATTTTCTGGCTAATGCCCAGATAGATTCCCTTGGCCTCTTTTCAGTGTACAAGATGCAGTCTTTTGGGAACTGTATTATGCTTTTGATTCCGAAGCTTTTTGGGGTTTATGGTGTGAGCTAAGAGGTTCATGGAGCATGCTGCCTGGAGACAGGGTTTTTTTGTTTTGTTTGTTTTTGTTTGCCTAAGATTTATTTATAGCTAGAAGTAAGTGCCTTAGTTTCTGCCTTTTAGTGTGGGAAGTGCACTTCCACCCTTCCAATCCCGATCATCTCTTCACGTGTTCTGAAGATGGATCCCTCTGGCACTGGGATGCCTCCTCCAACGTCCCTGAGAAGTCCTCACTCTTTCATCAAGGTAAAGCATCTTAGTGAAGATTCTCTTCTGTATTTTGATTGTGTTTTCTTAAAAACAAAAAGTTTATGTATTTATTTGGGGGAGAGAGCTTCTATCTGTTGGTTTATTCCCCCAAATTGCCACAGACTGAAACAGGGAGCTAGGAACGTAGTTGAACTGGAAGGACTCAGCTCCTTGAGCTGTCACCTGCTGCCGCCCAGGCCGTACATTTGCAGGGAGCAGGAGTTGAGAGTGGAGCCAGGCTCTTTGACGGGAGATTTGGGTGTCTTAACAGTGAGGCCGACAGCACATCCCTCTTCCTATGCTCATTATGTTTTTTTTTTTTTTTTTTAAGATTTCTTTTATTTTGATTGGAAAGGTGGATATACAGAGAGAGGAGAGACAGAGAGGAAGATCTTCCGTCCGATGATTCACTCCCCAAGTGAGTGCAACGGTCAATGCTATGCCAATCCGAAGCCAGGAGCCTCTTCCGGGTCTCCCCCGCGGGTGCAGGGTCCCAAAGCTCTTGGCCGTCCTCGACTGCTTTCCCAGGCCACAAGCGGGGAGCTGGATGGGAAGAGGGGCCGCCGGGATTAGAACCGGCGCCCATATGGGATCCTGGGCATGCAAGGCGAGGAGGACCTTAACCACTGCGCCACCGCGCCGGGCCCTCATTATGTTTTTAAATACCAAATTACACAATGTCTTGGTTTTGTTTTGTTTTTAAAGAGTTCTTTTTACTTGTAAGTCAGAGTTACAGAGAAACAGAGAAGAAACATAGACAGATCTTGCATCTGCTGACTCACTCCCCAAATGGCCACAACAGCCAGAGCTGATTGAAAGCTAGGAGCCAGGAACCTGCTCTTGGTTTCCTGTGTAGGTGCGGGGACTGCAGGACCTGGGCCATCCTCCCCTTTTTTTCCAGTCCATAAGCAAAGAGGAGCTGCCAGGACATGAACCAGCATCTGTATGGGATGCTGGCGCTTACAGGTAGAACATTAGCCTGATGCACCACCTCACCAGCCCTGAGAGTCTAATATTTTAGCATCAATGAATGTCAGAATGTTTCTGTTCTCCAGCAACAGGATATATTTTAATACTGTAAATCTTGAATTCTATGAACTAATTGCTGATGTCTAAAAACATGCTTCAAGTGCAGTCACTTCAGACAACCAAGGTTCTTTGTGAGTGACATTGACCTTGGCCCACAGGGTATGCACAGGTAATGCACTTTTATGTTGCATTGCCAAAACAGGGTGTTTGTCAGGCAAAACTAGAACTTTTATGTACTAAGGTGCTAGTTTCTTCTCAGCTTGAAAAGCCTTGTCTGCGGAATACTAAAGTCAGTGCCAGATAAAGGTTAGCCAGAAGCAACGCACTGTACCCCAGGGTTTGGTTCTGTTATTGGTTGCTTCCTATTTTTCAAAATTGCTGTGTTAAAGGATTTCCCCCCCATTAATTCCAACGTGTTCACTTATCACTGACTACTGTGTGATCGACACCCTTCTAAGTGTTGGGACCTACAGCAGCAAACAGGACAAGTCAGTGTACCTGGAACAGGCAGCCCAAGGGGGCACACAAGATGCTGTCACTTAGAGTCCACTCAGAATCAAGGCTTTAGAAGGCTTTCCAATTAGAACATGTGCATGGGTCCCTGCATGGTAGCCTAGCAGCTAAAGTCCTCACCTTGCCTGCACCAGGATCCCATATGGATGCCTCTTTGTATCTTGGCTGCTCCACTTCCCATCCAGCTCCTTGCTTATGCCCTGGGAAAACAGTAGTAAACAGCCCTGCACTTCTGCAGGAGACCCAGAGGAAGCTCCTGGCTCCTGGCTTTGGATAAGCTCTGCCTTTCCAATATAAATAAATAAACTAAGGAATAAGTAAATAAATCGATCTTTAGAAAGTGTGCAGATGAAAGAATCTCAACTGAACTTGAGCTGTGGTTATGCAACAAGGTGGAGGAATCCACCCTGGGTGGAGGGTTAGGGGAGGGGTGGGGGGAATCCCAGTACCTATAAAACTGTGTCACATAATACAATGTAATTAATAATAATAATAGTAATAATAATAATAAAAAGAAAGTGTGCAGAAGCAGCAGAGCTGGGAGAGCAGCTATCAGAAATCAAAATCGGAAGGTGTTAGTACCTCAGCTGCTGCCGTGTGGGAAATGCTGTCGAAGCTGGTTCAGGATCAGCAGAAAAGATGCCTCCTCATGGAGACTGGGACTGCTGCTGTGTTCAAAAGCCTGGAACAGGAAGGGGGCTGCTTCTCTGCCGCCCACCTGCTACAGTCGCCCAGCAGTAACGCCTCCTGTTTGCAAGGGAGCTGACCCCACAGGACAGAGGATCTCAGAAAAGTGGAAAAGAGGACGCAGGGGCCAAAAACAAACGAACTGGGCCAAGTACACTGATACCAATCAGTGTAGAAAAGGGTAAAGCAGAACAGGGAGATGAAAGAATGAGACAAGGCGGGGGAGCTGTCCTAGTGAGAGGTCCAAGGAGAGGCGGCAGGTGTGAGTCACGGGAAAGCCGTCTGGACAGAACAGAGGGCCACTGTGGCTGCGGCTCAGCTGCACTGCAGAGTGGCTGAAGATAAGGACAGACCTCTGGAGGCCTTGAGGCGGACTTCAGATTTCATGCTAAGTGTGATGGCAAGCCACCTGATGAGCCAGGGCTGGCAGGAACTGACCTGTGCTGCCAGTGAGTCAGTGTGTCTGCTGTGGCGCAGACTACAGAGGAGGGGGAGAAAGTGTCTCCTTACACTGATTCTTTTTATATAAAGATTTATTTATTTTATTGGAAAGGCAGATATACAGAGAGGAGGAGAGACAGAGAGGAAGATCCTCCTTCTGGTGATTCACTCTTCAAGCGGCTGCAACAACCGGAGCTGAGCCAATCCGAAGCTAGGAGCCAGGAGCTTTTGCCGGTCCCTTGTGGGTGCAGGGTCCCAAAGCTTTGGGCCGTCCTCGACTGCTTTCCCAGGCCACAAGCAGGGAGCTGGATGGGAAAGCAGGCTGCCGGGATTAGAACCAGCACCCATATGGGATCCTGGTGTGTTCAAGGCGAGGACTATTAACTGCTACGCTATTGCACTGGGCCCTGTTGCAGTGATTCTAACAGAAGGGCATAAACTACAGGGGCAGGAAAGTGGGAAACAAAGGGGGGAAATTGATGAAACCCCAGAAAAATTCTGAAAAGCATGCAGTGTGTAGAGTGTGTATGCATATCTTTTTCAGCTTCAAGTATGGAGAAAAAAACCTTTAATCTAAACAGCAGGTATTTGGTTGCTAATTCTTTCCACTTCTACTCCCATTATATTGCACTTGAAATTTCAGTACTTAAGGAACCTAGTTGGAGAAGAAACAAAGCTGGTCACTAGATTCTGTTTGTTACTACTGAGAAAGTAAAACATGCAAAATATGCAACGTGCCTTTCATAAAATTCTAGCCTCTGGCTTGCTAACAGGCAGGAGCAGGTGGTGGCTCAAGCACTTGGAGACCCAGGCTGAGTTCTCAGCTTCTGGCTGCTGCTTAGTCCAGCTCCAGCCATCGTGAGCCTTTGCGAAATTAAACCAGCAAAGTAGAGATGTCTCTTGTTTCTTTCCCTATTTCTCTGCCTTTCAAATAAAGAATAATGATCCTTGATACTACTTTTTTAAAAAAGAGAATATATCCAGAAATACATCTATACATTTCTATTCTTTTTTTCTTCTTATTTACTCTACTTACCTTCTGGCTATTTTGGTGCCTTTCTGAGACTTTCCATTAAAAGGTTAACAGAGTAGGGCCCAGCATGGTAGCCTAGTGGCTCAAGTACTCACCTTGCATGTGCCAGGATCCCATGTGGGTGCCAGTTCATGTCCTGGCTGCTTCACTTCCCACCCAACTCCCTCTTGTGGCCTGGGAAAGCAGTGGAGAACAGCCCAGGGTCTTGGGACTCTGAACTAGTGTAGCAGACTTGGGGAAGGCTTCTGGCTCCTGGCTTCAGATTGGCTCAGTTCCAGCCGTGGGAGCCACTTAGGGAGTTAACCAGTGTATAGAGGATCTTTCTGTCTCCTCTCTGTAGATCTGACTTTACAGTGAAAATAAATCTTTAATAAAAAAAATTAATGGAGTAACAGGCTCAAATTTAATCTTCTGTTTTGTCTCAAGACTTTAAGTTTCTTATCTGCGTTATCCCATGGAATATCACTGAATAAGCCATTGGTCAAAAATGACTAAATGGTAATGGAATTATCAGCCTATTAATTCTGAGAATTTAGCAAGTTGAAATCGTCACCTCACGTAAGTAGATGCATCTATAGATATTTGAAAGTGTGCTAATACAGAGTTAGTCTTCAGAGGTTTTTTTTTTCCCTTTTTTCTCCCAGGGGGAAGAACCAGCACGTTTCTGTCTCATAGCATTAACCACCAGGTTAACGCTCACCAATCTCTAATCAGTTCTTGGCTTAGCACTGACCCTGCGAAAGACCGCATTGAAATCACCAGCTTGCTCCCCAGTAGGACTCTGTCTGTGAACAGTTTGGATGTTCTAGGTCCTTGCCTTGTGTGTGGAACTGATGCAGAAGCAATTTATGTTACTAGACAACTTTTCTCATGAAAGTATGGAGGTAAAATGTACAGATAGCCTTGTTAATCCCAAACTGTGTACAAATTTTATTATTAGAAAATATGAGATTTTCAGAATGTCAATAAACTGTGGCTGATATTGATGTTCAGCTTTGTCCTGGTCAGTTGGATCCTCTCCACAGTGGTTGCAGAACCTCATGACACCTGGATGGTACACCGTTGGGAGCATGCGCACGGGCATCTGAGGGCTCCTCGTGCCTTCACGTAGACTGCTGCAGGCCGCTGTGGCACCAGCTCTTCATCATTGCTGCTGTCAGGCCACCAGTGGGGCCCTTTACTATTCCTGTATAACTTTTTAAGAACAGATTATGGGTGGCATTAGTCAATGCTAGCATTTATTTTTCTTGCAGATATTTTTCTCAATCCTTCCACATTTTATTTCCTTAATTATTTTACTAAAAATTTTGAAGATGAATTGAATGCAGCAAAAATGACTAATTTATAGCTGAATTCAAGGTTTTTTTTTGTAAAGTGAAAATGTTTTTTGACAATTGCATTCGTTAGGATAGATTTGAACATAACTCTATCAGCTACTTAGATCTAATTATTTTTCTTTAAAAGGATAAATAAAAAAAGGATTTTGCTAAGCATTTTTGCTTTTAATTTTACGACACCCCTGCAGATTGCTAAACCAAACCTTGTGTAATAAAGTAGAATTTGATTTTGGTGAGTAAACTGACTTCCAAACTAGATTTTGAAACAAGTGTGTTAATACTATGATGATGTGTTAAGAGTAAAGTTTACTGTCTTTATCCATATCCAAAATGTTAATAATGGCCTAACATGTAATATTTTAAGACAGTTTCATGGCACTGTCCAAAGTTTACTAGATTAAATGCATTATTGATGTAAAACCTTAAAGTCAAATCATTGCAATTACATACTTGAAGTGTGTATTCATTTTTTTAATACCAGTAATAATTATAATAGAGTTTTGCTCTACAGTTTCAATAAATATTATACAATTTTTTGGTGCCACTTAACTGCAAGGATTTTGCGGTTTTGTCAGTACTGTATATGTATATATATAGAGAAAGTACATATCTATGTATGCTTTTTTTGCTGTATTTGGGTCAAAGTACTCAGTGCTTTGAATTCTAAAGATTGGAAAAGAAAAAATATATTATTGATAAGAATTTTTTAAAAGATTTACTTGTTTTTATTACTAAGCAGATATACAGAGAGGAGAAGAGATAGAGAAGAAGATCTTCAGTCCAATGATCCATTCCCCAGGTGAGCACCATGGCCGGTGCTATGCCGATCTGGAGCCAGGAGCCAGGAGCCAGGAACCTCCTCCAGGTCTCCCACGCGGGTACAGGATCCCATACCATTGGGCCATCCTCAACTGCTTTTCCAGGCCACCATCAGGGAGCTGGATGGGAAATGGGGCTGCTGGGATTAGAACCGGTGCCCATATGGGATCCTGGCGCATTCAAGGTGAGGACTTTAGCCGCTAGGCCACGCCGCTGGGCCCCATTGATCAGAATTTTTATTTCTAGTTTTGTTGGTAGAACTCTTTTAATAGAGAAGAACATTTTGAAGTACTTACAGTCTGAAAGTTCTCTTTTGATACCCCATTTTATCCATCAGTGTATAAGACTTATATAAAAGTGGAAATACACAAAAAAGTGAAAATATCTTTGTGGTTGCATGGATAACAATGAGCTCTTTCTCAGCTCTTCCTCATTACCCTAAGCTATGACGTATAGCATAATCTATTTTAATTGTCTGCTCATTATGATATCACAGGGTCTCAGGTTCTAATTTATCACTGCTTTGTTGTTTGTGTAACCTGTATTTCTTTTCAAATTTGTTTAAACCTTTGTCATTTTTGTTTTCTGACATAATTCCATTTTCTTAATTTGCAACATCTTTTTATATAATTCTTTTAGAAGAATTTTTTGCCTTTGGTCTCTGATACAAATATTTTTCAGTTTAGCTGTTGGCTACGTTTGTGCGGCTTGCTCTACAAATTTGTCATCTGCATATGATCAAATCAATTGATTTTTTTCTTTCCTTATAATTTCTCCCCTTGGCATCATGCTGCCCCATCTGAGGTTTATATAGATGTTAGTCGGGGCTGATTGTAGCATAACGGTAAACCACTCCTGCGGAAGCCTGTTTTGGTTCTAGCTACTCCACATCCAGTCTAGCTCTTTGTAATGCCTAGGATGGACATCACAAGAGGGAAACTTTTTGGCCCCTGCCATGGATGTGGGAGACCCAAATCAAATTCCTGTCTCCTGACCCAGTACTAGCCACTGCAGCCATTTTGACATGAAGCAGCAGGGCCTGACGTGATGGTTTAATTACTATAACTTCATCTTTCAAGTGCTGGGATCCCACATGGGCACTGGTTTGTGTCCCAGCTGCTCCACTCCCATCCAGCTCCCTGCTTATGAGCATCGAAAGCAGTAGAGGATGATCCAATACCTTGGGAATGCCTTGGAACCCTACACAGTGTGGGAGACCCTACACAGTATGGGGGACCCAGAGGAGCATACTGGCTTCAGATTGACATAGCTCTGGCCATAGTGGCCATTTCAGGAGTGAACCAGTGATGGAAGATCTTTCTGTCTCTCCTCTCTGTAAATTTACCCTTCCAATATAGATAAACAAATCTTTGATATCAAAAAAAAAGATGTGAACCATCAGATGGAAGATCTCTTTCATCTCTCCCCACCTCTAACTTTCAAAAATAAATACATTTTTTTTAAAGACTTATTTTATTGTTATTGGAAAGTCAGATATACAGAGAGGCAGAGAGACAGAAAGAAAGATCTTCTGTCTGTTGATTCACTCCCCAAGCAGCCACAATGGCCAGAACTAAACTGATCCTAATCCAAGAGCCCGGAGCCTCTTCTCATGCGGGTGCAGGGTCCCAAAGCTTTGGGCCATCTTCAACTGCTTTCCCAGGCCACAAGCAGGGAGCTGGATGGGAAATGGGGCCGTCAGGATTAGAACTGGTGCCCATTGGGATCCTGGTACGTGCAAGATGAGGACTTTTGCTGCTAGGCTAATACGCTGGGCCAACTGTTTTGTTTGTTTGTTTTTTAAGATTTATATTATTTTGAGCAATGAAATAAAACATCTAAACTGTAGAATAAGGGCCCGGCGCGATGATGCAGTGGTTAAGGTCCTCGCCTTGCATGCCCGGGATCCCATATGGGCGCCGGTTCTAATCCCGGCAGCCTCGCTTCCCATCCAGCTGCCTGCCTGTGGCCTGGGAAAGCAGTCGAGGATGGCCAAGAGCTTTGGGACGCTGTGCCCGCTTGGGAGACCCGGAAGAGGCTCCTGGCTTCGGATCGGCATATCATTGGCCATTGCGCTCATTTGGGGAGTGAATCATTGGCCAGAAGATCTTCCTGTCTTTTCTCCTCTCTGTATGTCCGCCTTTCCAGTAAAAATAAAAAATAAATCTTTAAACTATAGAATAAATAGCTGTGAGTCATATTGATGTGTTGCTTAAATGGAAAAGAAATCTACTCAGAGTTAGAAATTGTCCTTCGAGGAGGTGGAGAACAATTCCACATAACTTAAATTTGAGTCATGCCTAGTCTAAAGTTTTCCCCTGATTAAGTGAATTTTCAGGGCATAGGGAGGCTATTATTATTTGATGATACAGTTCCTTAGGCTCTGGAATTTTCCCTCCTCACCACGCCCCCTCCCTCCCGCTGATCCCTCCCAGATTATTACAGTAGTACAGTCCTTCATAAACAATCCTAAATCCATCATTCTGCTCTTTAAGTGTGTGCTGACATTGTAGGTGTAGACCATGGCAAGAGAGTTCATCATCCTGTCCTGATATATTTACCAGTTCCACTGGGAGTCCATCTTTGATTTGGAAGTAGAGATGCGTACTGCATTGTATCTTCACATGCGCCCATCAAAAGAGTATTAAATATAGAAACTGTACATCTACTCAGTGGAATATTACTCAGCCATTAAAAAAATGAAATTCTACCCTTTGCAACCAAATGGTCCCAACTGGAGATCATTATGCTCAGCAAAATAAGTCAGTCCCAAAATGACAAATATCATATGTTCTAAGCCAACCTTCACACTGTTTTTGCTACATCTCATGGTTTTGAAATTTTTCTTTTCCTTTCTTCCAAAGTTTTTTCCTTCTGAATTTCTTTACTGACTCAGATCATATAGTAACATTTGCTTCAAGAAGGGTTTTTATTTTCATTTCTTCAGAGACACATTGGTTATTCAGCAGCATGTTATTTAGCTTCCTGTTCTAGTAAATTTCCAATTTTAATTCCTTCTCCAGACTCAAAGATGAAATTACATCTGTATTTTAAAAAAAAAAAAAAGAAACAAAAAACAAAATTCTGAGAAGCTAAGCTGGAGCTGAACTAGACCTTTACGGCTTGAGAAGCGCAGCACCCCCCATGGAAAGCACTTCCGGTCTTTCCTCACCATGCCCACACAGCCCTGGCCACTTTTCCTCTTGTCATCTGTCCTCTCCTTTCCCTATCCGTTCCCTGGCTTCACAGGAGAAAACTTCGAGACCTATATGGAGCGATTCACTGAGCTCCTTGAATGGTCTTGCCATTTTCCCCAAGACGACAATTTCCCGGTACTCTCCATCATGCTGGCACAAGTTCCTAAGGCTGGTGAAGGGAGGGGACGAGAGCAGTATGTTCTCCCAGACACGGTCTTACACAGGGCAGGCAAGCCCGTGAACCCATGGGATTCCTGAAACTTTCCATCTGTCAGGTGAACAAAGTGAGACCTGGGGGTGATGAGGCCGTTGCCTGCGATGCCCACCTTCTACCAGCTCAGTGCTTGTGCAAAACGATAATGTTAAATTAAGTGCTTTTAGAATGCATGATTTTCTAAACAGCACTTTTCACATTCCAACGTGTGGATACAGTAGCCAGTTAACAGCATTTTCCCCCTGTTGGGATCGTCTTCAGTAGAAAAATGAATTATTTGAAAATTCTCTACAGTCAAAACTGGCAATAACGCTGACAAAAGTTGGGTGGTACCTGCACAACCCACGGGCCGCATCCCAGTTTTCTAATTCAATTGAACAGATGAAACCTTTTCTCGCCCCGTCACCATTCTTGAAGTTTGGCTCTAATACCCTCCTCTAGGGAGAAAAAAAAGACTGACAGAGAAGGATCTTCAGACCATCCATCAATCCCCAGGGGTTCGGTTAAAAAAAGAAGAAGAAAGAAAAGCACTCCCTCCGCTCTCAGGAGTTTACTCGCGTGCCGAGTGCAAGAATAAAACCACCTTCCTTCCCAGCCCCGCGGATGTCGCCGGTGTCCGCGGCGAGCGGGGTTGTCCCCGGGACGGTCAGGCCCCTGGCGCTGGGTGCGCTTCCGCGTGGAGAGCAAACGCTGGGCGGACGGAGTGGGCTCGCGCGGGGGAGGGCCGGCTCCCACGGCCACGGGCGGCCCCGCCGCGGCAGGCGCGAGCACCGTGGGGGCGCCGCTCCCGGACGCGAGGGACCCGACCCGAACGCGGAGGCCGCGGGCAGAACGTTCTCTCCTCGCCGACCGGGCGGCCCGAAGCCCCCAGTCCTCGGCCCCGCGCAAGCGACGCCGGGAAATGCCCACATCCGGGAAACCTGCAACGGAGTGCGGCGGCGGCGGCGGCGGCGGCGGCGACACGGAGTGGAAGGCAAAATGGCGGCGGCGGTGGCCTGGTGCTGAGGGGAGAGCCAGGTCCCGGCGACCCCCCGCCACAGGCCGCGCTGGCCCGCGGCAGCCCCCTGGCGTCTCTGCCCCTCCTGCCCCCCGACCGGGGACACCCGCGGGTCCCTGGGACGGGCTCCGGCCGCGTCGGCGCCCGCCCGCCAGGCCCGTGGCCGCTGTCCAGGAGCCCCGCTCTCCCCAGCAGGTAGGTCCGGGGCTGGCGGAGCGGGTGGGGCTCCCGCTCTCCTCTGGAGCCCGAGCCGGCGGGGCGGTGGCCGCCGGGGCCCACGCCCATCCCCGCTGGCGGGGGTCCAGCGCCTGAGCCGGCCCGGTCCGGGCCTGGCGTGGCGTGTCTGGTGGCGTGGACGTGCCCCCCGGGGCAGCGAGGGCTGGCCGCGCCCGGAGCTGCGGGGAGCGCCCCGGGCTCGGCGGCCTCGGACGGGCAGGAGCCTGCTGGGCTGGCGGCCTCGGGGCGGCTGTCTCCTGCCCGGCCGCTCCGCCGTGTCCAGCAAGGGAAGGCGAAAGGTGGTTCCGAAGGAAGGATTGCAGAGAGCTCCAGTCCCCCGGCCCCGGATCGCTCTCCAGTCGGCTGTAATGTTAGCTCCGTAGTGGGAAGTCGGGGGGACAAATGGAGGCTTCCTTATGGAGTAGGTATGTACCTGCCTCCGGGAAAACGGAGCAAGACAAGGTAACATTGTGCATTATAACTTGAAACAGAACCTGGAGTTGCAGGGCACGACTCTCAGGTGACTGGCGTTAATAACTGGGTCTCGTTCAGTTGTCCAACTGGAAGTCATTTACCCGGGGAACAAAGTTGAATGTCTCCTGTTAGTTATTCCTAAGGCTGAAGCAGTAGGTTGGGTTTCACACGCAGAGGCTATTGTATCGCTGCAGTGGAAATGGGTTTGAGTGTGTGAAGTTTTTCAGACCTTTGGGAATTATTTCTTGAAGGTTTCTGGCCAGAGGAGGACAAGATAGGATGTTAGGATTACGCTTGGATGTTCTCTGCCTGTGAATTGTTTTGCCAAAGGTTTTCTCCTTCTGTTAAATAATTGACAGACAGATAAAATGGGCTGGCTGATTCCCTAGGGCCCTGGAGGGTGGAGACGTTCAGCTGATTTTACAGTAAAAGAAGGGGCATTGTCTGCTACTGCAGAAAACTAGATCAAGGCTGGGGCTGCGAACGGCACATTGTGACCATAGCTCGAATATGCTGCACCTTTCTCCAAAAATAAAGAATACTCCATGAACGACATACAGCTTTCCTCCTGCAGTTGCTTTGCTTTGACTCTTAGTCTTTGTTATTGTCTGTCAATACAGTCGTCAGATGGTTCCAAGTCATTATTTAGTGGTCATTTTAGATGCCGTGATAGATGATTTTGTTTTTATTCATTTTGCACGACCAAGACAGAGAACTCGTATTTGCTGGTGCCCCAGACGCACCCAGCAGCAGGGTGGTGGGCGCCAGGAGCTGATCCAGCTCTCCTGGGTGTGTGCTTGACAGGCGTGCTCAGCACCTCAAGGGTCTGCATGGGGCAAAGCTGAAGCTGGAAGTTGACCCCGGATTATCTTAACTGCCAGGGCGAAACACACATTCCACTGCTCAGTTTCTACAAACTTTATTTCAAGTCATTGAACAACATTTTTTTTAAGTGTTGAAAATTTTTTTTTCCTTTGAGAAGCATAGAGAAAGCAATCTATCCACTGGTTCAGTCCTAATATGCTCGCAGTGTCTAGAGCTGGGCCACAGCAAAGACAGGAGCCAAGGACTCAGTCCAGATCTCTGTAAGAGACTAAGGCCCGCTGGACTGCACCTGCTGGAGCCAGGGTGTGCTGAGCAGGAAACTGCGCTTGGGAGTGGAGCCAGACTTAACCCCTAGGATTCCAATACAGGATCTTAATGCTGTTGAAATCAAGCCAGGCTGATTATCACTGGACAGGCAATTCATCAAATGAATTCATGTGAAGAAACCAATTTATTCAAGAGGCCAGAAGAACTCTGGGAGGAAAGTAGACATCTTTAGTCACAAAACGGCTTTGCCTGGTTTGCAAGTTAGAAAAGCTTCTAAAACAGGAAAGGGGAGTTAAGGGAGGCTAGGGAAGCTAGCCAGTTCAGTTGATTGATCATCAGACAGGTTCCCACCTGATGCCAAACTCTTGGACGTTTCTTTGACATGCTGGTTATAAATTGTTGACCAGGCGGTGGTGTGGTAGTGTGCTTGCAAATTTCTTCCTTATCTGTGGTCTGCCATACTGGCCATGACCCTGTAGTCAGTCTCTGGAATTCCTAAGCGAGAGTTATTTGTTGAGTTGAACAAATATTCTGATTAGTCCCAAGATCGGCAGTTACGTTTTCTTAGAATGGGAAAAGGGGGCCCTGGTGAGGTGGCCTAGCAGCTAAAGTCCTCGCCTTGAACACACCAGGATCCCATATGGGTGCTGATTCTAATCCCAGCAACCCCACTTCCCATCCAGCTCCCTGCCTGTGACCTGGGAAAGCAGTCAAGGATGGCCCAAAGCTTTGGAACCCTGCACCCATGTGGGAGACCTGAAAGAGATTCCTGGCTCTTGGCCTCGGATTGGCATAGCACCCACCATTGTGGTCACTTGGGCAGTGAATCATCAAACAGAAGATCTTCCTCTCTGTTTCTCCTCCTTTCTGTATATCTGATTTTGCAGTAAAAATAAATAAATCTTAAAAAAAAAAAAGAATGTGAAAAGGAGGGCTTGGCACTGGGGTGCAGCAATTAACCTGCCAGTTGGATTTCTGGCTTCCCTGATCAGGGTGCCAGTTTGAGTCCTGGCTGCTGCTCTTCCAAGCCAGCTTCCTGCTGATACACCTGCGAAGGCAGATAATATAATGATGGCTCAGGTACATTGGTCATACCTTACATGGTATACCTGGTTGGAGCTTCTGGGTCCTGGCTTCAGCCTGGCCCAGTACCAGCCATTGCAGCCGTCTGGGGAGTAAAGTACTGGATGAAAGATCTTTCTGTTCCTTTTCAGGTAAAGTCTCTAATGTGAAAAACAAAAGAAGATACGTTCTATTTACAGTTGCAGATACATTGTTAGCTGCAAAGTTAGAATGTGAAATGGGAAAGGAAGATGTACTTATGCTTACAAATTCCCTTATTCCGTATCTGTGGAAAGGAAGCGTTGACTGATACTTTTTGCTATTTGGTTATCCAGTGAGAAGTTTCTTTTTTATTGGAAAGCATTGACAGTGGTGAAATATGTGTTCTTTAGTTTTCCTTATTTTTTTCAAGATTTATCTATTTTCATTGGTAAGTCAGATTTAAACAGAGAAGGAGAGACAGATATTCCATCCGCTGATTCTCTCCGCAAGGGGCTGTAATTGTTGGAGCTGAGCCCATCCGGAGCCAGGAGCCAGGAGCTTCTTCAGGATCTCTGATGTGGGTGCAGGGTCTCAAGGCTTTGGGCCGTCCTCTGCTGCTTTCCCAGGCCACAAGCAGGGAGCTGGAAGGGAAGTAGAGCATCCAGACACGAACTGCAGCCATGTGGGATTCCAGCACATGCAAGGTGGGAATTTAAGCCCCTAGGCTACTGCGCCAGGACCTAGTTCTATTTTTTAAGGGAGTGTAGGCCAAATACCTTGCTTGGCCATTAGCTAAGATGAAGCTTCTGTGTATATGACATAATGACTTAAGCCTTCAGAAAGGTCCCAATATTACTAAGAGTGTTGATCCTCATTGTAGAATTTCAGAGACAGACCTAATTCTAGATAGTATCTGGAAAAAAATTTGAAAGCCAGTCTCCAAGCCCTTAGAAGAAGGGAATTAATGAACCACAGACTGTTGGAGTCAGGTGGCCTCCTAATTTTAGCATTTATTCATTTATACAAGCATAGGAGGAGAGATTGTCCACAATACAGCACTTTATTCAGCTAGAGTCTGGTCAGACCCAGCCTATTCCTTTAAAACTTCCTTGGCTGAAGATTTCAAGTATTTTTGTAAGTTTGTAACAAAGTTATCAGTTTTATTTATTTTTCTAGATTTTAACTTCATATTTACAGTTTTTATTCTTGCCACTAAGTACAAAGAGAAAGGTTTTGTTTTAGCATCTCAGTGTGCCTTCTGTGTAGAGTAGCATTGGAAGGGTGTCTGTGTTTGAAAAAGTGGCTCTGCAAAGAGGTTGTGGCTGTGACAGCCATCTGTGATAGTTACTGACAGTCACGTGTCAAAGCCTTCCTTCGTAACCTCTTGTCTGTGTGTTTTCATTGAGGGTTTATTCCATGTTGATGTATCTATATCCTGTCTCGCCTTGCATTCCTGAAAACACCTCTGATCAGTCACCCTTTAGATAGTTTGTGCCTCACTGCCAGCCTGGGCCACTCCTGGTTGCTGGTCTGACTTGGTCCTTTGTTGAGCAGAGAGAGTGACTTAACAACCAGTTAAGTTTTAAAAACCTTTTAGCCGCAGATTTAAGGTTGCAGAAGGAGTGAGTGGTTTTTAGGCTGAGCTACCCTGGAGTCCTCTGCTAAACAGAACCTTCCCTGTCCTGTGGCAAGAAGCATCAGCTCAAAGTGCCCAGCCAGCACATTCTTGCTGTGAGTTATACTTAAGTACAGCAGGAAAAGTTGCATCACTATGAAGTAATCCCAGATTTAGAAAACTCTCACAATCAAGAAACTTTACTACTGCAGGTGACAGGCCATCAGTTTGTTTATTTCAGGCTCTTGTCATGCAGGAAGACAGGAATTCTGTCTGGTAACTTACATGAGGTAAATTTTATTCAAAAGGTGAATGTGGGGCCCAGCGCAATAGTGTAGTGGTTAAAGCACTTGCCTTACACATGCCAAGAACCCATATGGGCACTGGTTCTAATTCTGGCAGCCCTGCTGCCCATCCCCCTTTCCGATTGTGGTATGGGAAAGCAGTCGAGGACGGCCCAAAGCCTTGGGACCCTGCACCTGCATGGAAGACCTGGAAGAAGCTCCTGGCTCCTGGCTTCGGATCGGCATAGTATCGGCCGTTGCGCTCACTTGGGGAGTGAATCATCGGACGGAAAATCTTCCTCTCTGTCTCTCCTCCTCTCTGTATATCTGCCTTTCCAATAAAAATAAATAAATCTTTAAAAGGTGAATGCGCAAGTGTGTGCACACACATGCACGCACACATACAAGAGCATGGATTGTCCCACAGAGGGAAAATATCTGACATTGAGTGGGCAAGTGGCTAAGGTGGG